TTTTTTTTTGCTCAGATTCAGTTCAAATCACCCATGGAATACCCAAAAGAGATAGAATCATTCATTAAAACCTTCTCGAATTCTGACTGCTAATCGAAACTTTCGCCCCTCAGTCCTTTCGACCACAGGGACGATGACATTGTGGTAGCGCTAGCTTATCTGCTTCCATCTGTAGGATACTTAATTTTTATGGCCTTTGCCCGAAGATTTATTTAGAAACGTGTACTTTAAGGGACAACGCTTCATGTTTACACTTTGTATAGGCAGAATAGCCGAGAAGAAGAGGACTTCCTCAGCCGAGCCAGGAAGTAGTGTCATCATTCGTCGCCCTTTTCCACTGACGCCAGCCTATCAGCTACCATCGAAATTGATCATTCCAACAACCAAATTTCAGCACTAAGTGCATGTACAGAGAGAAATATGCCCTGAAGTCAGAAGCCTTGTGATCATGGAGAGCTATGCATGTAACAATCATTCTCATAAAACGACACTGATGGTCCTTGGAAAACATGAAGAATTGAAGTCACTATCGCAAGCCTCAGTTCTTCAGAAGCCGAAGTTTTGCCCACAGATAGCCGTCGTTGTTAGACAAGCCTCAGCATCAACTTGGCCATAAAAGTTCATGAACGAAGAAGTGCAGGGTAGCCAGTTGCCACTGCTTCCATTGGTTGAAGAACTTATCGGGTGCCATAAGGGAAACTTGACTTTCTCCTTGGTACACTGTGCTTCGATTTCCGCCATCAACTCTACTCTTTTTGGTTGTTTAATTAACTGATACGATCATTCGCAACGTCGACAAAAGAGCAGCTTAAGCTGATGCTCAAGGGAACGACAAGAGAAGTAGGGAAAGAAGAGGTGCAGGTGTTCGAAAGCCACAGACAAGCAACTCCAAACACTTTCAGGTCATTGTAGTCAGTGTAGTCATTGTTGCTGAAAACGTCGACAGAGTAAAGCGGTTCCCATTAAGACAAACCTTTACGGTCAGACAGAATGATACACTGGGTAAGTCTCGGTTCGCCCACAGGTGCACCATCACACGTTTTTAAAGTGGTAGACCACATAGGCCTCAGAAACAATATAGTCGAGAGTA